GGAGAAGCACACGGTGGCTGGGTTACTTGTCACCATCTCGCTGGCCTGGTCTGAGGGCCTGGAGGACCCTGTCAGGAGGCAGCATGAAGTCAGGGGAGCATAAATGGGTTTCCGGTCTTGCTGGATCCAGAGCTGCTGGGCTGCAGCCTCCCTGGCCTCTTGACCCTGTTCTGGGAGCCTCCCCTCCCACCTCCTTGGTCCTGGGGCCAGGGTCTCACCAGGCCATGCTAGCAAGCTTGGTGCTGGCTCCACGTCTCCCACTGACCTGCTGTGGCTCTTTTCCCTGCAGACAGTGAAGGTGGAGCCCTGGTGGCCCTACTCCAAGACCCCTTGAGAATGGAGGGATTTTAGGTAACATTCTGTTATTCCGTGCATAGGTCCCAGGCTCAGCCTTCCCAGAGCAGGCTACTTCCTTCCATGTTCAGAGCTTGAGGTTTGGGACAGAAGCATGAGCAGGGTGCCATCAGGGCACATCATGGGTGAGGCTGTGGAACAGGTGGACACAGAGCAGGACCAAACTCCCTGGGCTGTGGGGGAGCAGAGTGTGTGTGTGCATGTGTGTGTGTGTGCGTGCCCATTTACAGCTCTCCTGACATGTGATTTAGGTCACAGCCAGAAAGCAGCATCAGCGTTCTTAAGGCACTCAGGGCTCACCCAGCCCCCGAGCAATGCTTTCCAGCTAAAGGAGCAGTCAGCAGCCTCTTGTTCCTGCTCTGATGGCTGCTGTCATCATGCTTCTGTCCCCAGAAAAGCAGCCTGTGATGCCCTGCTGGGGCCCTCGAAAGTAACCAGCACTGCTAACTGGGCTTCTTGCTAGTGCCTGGAGAGCCAAGACACTGGGCGCACTTCGCTTTGTCTTTTTTTTCTTCTGATTTTTGCTTCCTTACTAGTGGGGGCCTACTGCTTTACAGGCAGAGAATAACACTGTCTTTACTTAGTGAATTATGGCAACTTATCTTTCTCCTGAGAAGTCCTGTACTTCTGTCCTGCCTCTGGGTTCAAGGCAGGATACAGCAACCGTTTTAGCTGGGTGCTGCTCAAGCATCTTTTGGATGACAAGCAGCCCAGCCTCCTCTGGTTTCCCCATTGTCCTGGGTTGGGGCCGCTCCCTGGGTATCGCCGTGCTTTGCAACATGGAGCCCCAACAGGGCACTAACTACGCTTACTAGGCCTTCGCAGACGGAATAGTCTGGAAACAGAAATGAATACCGTCCATAAACAACCACATCCAAAAGATTTATTCCTGTGTTGCACACAACCTCCACTGGCTGAACTCCTAAGTCGCTTTTTATTCATCTGATATTAAATCATCCACATAAATACATATAATAAATACAAAAACAGAAAGGGTTTCTTTTTTTAGTCTTTGATATATAGAGCTTTTCTCCCCTTCTTACATTTCCCTCCTTCCCTGCGTTTTAAGCCCATTACCTCGTGTTCATATTATTCCTTTGGAGACAAAAGCAACTCAGAAGTATTTGTGCCAGGACTCTGCATCAGTCAGCAGCCCGGGTCCTGGCACATCTTGGGGACTTGATGAAGGGGCAGGTCCTGGGGACTCACACATAGTCATTCAGCCTGTACCCGCTGTATGAAGCTGAGGTGGCAGACGGGGCATGGTTGTCCTTGTAGGAAGCCGGGGGCTGGTAGGCAGGCGCAGTGGCCGTGGTGGCGGCCCTGGGTTGGTCCTGGTAGGGCCTGGAGGGCACCTTGTCCTGGCAGGACAGGCAGAGCAACGTGCCACCAATGAGCGACAGGGATGAAGAGATGAAGCCGAGGTACAGGGCCTGCCCGATCTCGAACTTCATGCTGCTGGGCAGCAGCGGGTTGTAGAAGTTCTGCACCACGTCGTTGGTGGTCCAGGAGACGGCCACCATGCAGAGGAGGCCAGCCAGGATGAAGAGCACGCCGCCCAGCATGGCAAAGGTGGTCTTGGCGGGGGTGTCCTTGGCGCAGCGCGTGCACTTCATGCCCACCACAGCGCAGGCGCAGGCCACGCCCGACAGCAGGCAGGAGATGACCATGAGCGCCCGGGCGGCCTGCAGGTCGCGGGGCAGCGCCAGCAGCGAGCGGTAGATCTGGCACTGGTATATGCCCGTGCTGTGCCACACACACTCCATCCACAGGCCCTTCAGGTAGGACACGGCTGTCAGGATGTTGGTGCCCACGTGCGCCGTCCTGCGCCAGTGCGGCAGGATGGTGGTGACTAGTGTGCCCACCAGGCCCAGGAAGCTGAGCAGGAACCCCAGCAGCTGCACAGCTGTGCTGGCCATGGCCCCGGCGGCCGGTGGCTGCGCTCTCTCAGGCGCCCACAGGAGTCCTAATGAGGCGGGGAGGCCAGGCAGGGGAGAAAGGAAATGGGTTAAATATTATCTTGATGCATTTATTTCTGCCACTGAAACTGAGTTTTCCATAGGCAGTTGGTAAGACAATTAACATGTTTAAAAAAATAGTTTCCAAGATTGCATTGGGTGAAAGAATCAGAGGCCTGTCTAAGACATTTCCTGGAAGGCCAGAGCTAGAAGGCATACCGGTAATCTGGATGGACTGTGCTTCTCAAGGATCCCAGGGAAGGGCCCTCCAGAGCCCCGGTTCCTGACCTATCAGAACTTACCAACCACATGTGGGAAGTCCTACCTTATGTCTACCTTTAAGCACTCCTGCTGCATTTGAAGCTCATTTTGTTCTGTCCAGTCAGTCGTCACTTTGGTTGTTAAATCAGCACATGGACTGACAAGTGTTAAGGTGTGTGCTGCTTATGTCTGAGAAAAGAGCCTCAAACTGTCTGTCAGGACACAGTATTTTCTGGAAGCCTGCAGCTTCCCTGTGCTCTCAGCAGGGAGAGGTTTGGCCTCCACAGTCAGGTCAGATGCTTCCTTCCAGAATCCTGGAGCTGGATGTGACCTTGAGGTTGCCCACTGATATCAGGGGACAGGGATGATCAAGGTCACCAGCTCCTTAGGTGCTGCTACCAGGACCCAGACCAGTGACCTTCCCCTCACACTGCTCAGCAGAGGGGTGGGCTTGTTGCCAAACCAGTGCTGTTACCTGGTTTTCAGAGATATGGGGGTGCTGAGCCATTTCAGACATTAAAAAAAAAATTCTACCCGTGGAAAAATCCGGAACGATTACTAGGGGCAAGGACCCAGCACCTGTGTGGTGCCAATCATACAGGGGAAACTCAGGAAATATTTGGGGGGAGGAGAGAGAAGCAGGGAGGCGGGGAACAGGACAGGAGGGAGAAAGGAAGGCAGGAAAGGGGGAAGCGAGGAGAGAGAAGGGAAGGCGAGAGAAACACGGGAGGCAACCCCATGGGCTCCCCCGCCCACCCCCGACCCCGGCCTGCCTGGCCCCCACCCGCTGGGTGACTTAGGCCCCCCTCTGGGCTCAGCTTCCTTCTTTCTAACATGAGGGAGCCTCGGACTTGACTTCATGGCCTTGCAGCGTCTTCTGTTTTAAAGGGATACAAGGGACTCTCTGCTGATAACAAGTCACTTAACCATTGCAAACCGGCAGAGTCCAGTCGGCAAACCCGCTTCTTCCATCTTCTCAGTTAAGTGAAGGAAGGCCGGGAACAGAACGTCCCCCAGGCAACGCAGATGCTCCCTCAGCGCTGCCTTTGGGGCCCCACAGGCCTCTGATCCTGGGTTCCTTGTGAAGACATCCCCCACCAAGTTGCGACAAAGGATTCGGTCAGTAGCAAGCAGGCTGCCCTTCCACCTGGGGCCAGAACAATCCTCTAGCTGGATTTAAAAGTATATACTGGACTTAAATGTCAAAGCAGTGTAGCAGATAATCCCTAGTTCTGCCCTGGTTAACACACAAAGCTGAGTGACAGCAAGGCGACATGGAGTCGGCCGGGTCACATTGGTGGTGGTGGGGGTGCGGCTCTTTCTCTGACATTTGTAATAGTTATTGTTCAGGGCTCAGTCCTCCTCACACACACTTGGTGCTGATGGGCCACCTGCGTCTTGTCACAGGGCTGGCTCTCTTCGGGCTCTGCACGAAGCCACCTTCCCTCCACTCAGCAAGATCTCCTCTGCCCCGAGCAGGCAGGGCCGATGTCCTGGGTCAGTGCCTGAGCAAAGGGGCCCCCAGAGCAGCCGCCTTGGGGTGTGGGGCCGGCGCTGCTGCTGGGGGCCTGCCCGGCGTCTGGGTGCCAGAGCAGGGCTGGACCCCAAAGCACCAGTTTGCCGGGCTGAGCAATGCCGGCGAGCACTGGCCAGGCTGCTGGCTGCCTCCCACAGTGGCCCAGAGACGTGGTGGCTGCTGCCAGCCCTCTCCTACCCCAGGGGACAGGGCTCTGCCTGGCCTGGCTAGGGTGCTTTCTCCGTCCTCCTTTAACACTACCTGCCTCAGGTAAATAGGACTGAAGTGGACTTCAGGACTGCGGGGTGGTATCAGCAGCATATTCTGGAGAGTAGATCTCCTCTCCAAAGACATCCCAGAACACTGGCCTCCATCCTTTTGCAGTGGTTTTGTTGGCCAGGGTGACCAATCGTGCTGGTTTTTTGGGGACGGAGAGGTTTCCTAGGACAGAGGCCTTCCGGTGCTGAAACCAGGAAGCGGCAGGCAAACCAGGACAGTCGGTTCCCCCAGGTAGCCCGAGGCCGTGGACTTCTCCAGATGGCCTCTGAGATCCTTCCAGTCCTGCCTGGAGGTGGCCCCAGGCTGATGGCCGCACAGTCTGTCCCTGGTCCAGGGCATTCTGAGGCTTCTCATAGCTCTTGCTTGTCAAGGTCAGTCATTAACTATACTGATCCTCAAGAATGTGGCATAAAAGCTAAGCCGTTTGACCCCATTAGTGTGGAGAAGTGGACCAGAAGTTTATTGGAGGTCTAAATGTTTATGGAGAGCAATGACTGCTAATTTTAGAAACCATTAGGTTGCTATTTTTAAACTTGTACTAGAAGGATTTGCTAATTTAAGACGTGAGTGTTAATGAGCCCCCATCCCCCAGCCCCCAGCCCTTCCCCTAGTTACCAGCAGCTGCTACTGGCACTAGGTCATGATTCAACTTCCCAGCAACCACTTTTTACTTTGGGGCCATTCAATGGAAAAACAGCTTCAAATGAATGCATCTCCTTGGAAACCACATAATGCTCATCTGATGCTCTGGAAGGAGCTTGCCCACACTTGGCCTCCCAGGAGCAGTGTGTAGGGCTCAACTGACTGGGTTGAAGGCCTGCTACTGGCTTCACCTGTGGGCTGCCCTTTTCCTGCAGATGTGTGTGTGCTTGTGGGAATCTTTGCAAGAGAGATGTGAGTCCCAGAAAAATACGGTTCTAAGAATCAAGTTCCAAAAAGACCTTGACAGGCTGGGTGGATGAGGCTGGATAGAACAAGAAAGTGCATTCCAGGAATAAATGAGGGGTGCTGCATTTGGGTTCACAAAGCCCACTCCTGGATGGGCCATATGCAGTGAGCAGGATTTAGGACAGTGTTTCTCAACGAATGTTTCAACACTGCATTTGAAGGATGTCTGTGTGGAGGACTTAAGTGGTTTAAGAAAAGCCTGTAGCTACAGGACTTCTCTGGCTGGCAGTGTGCAAATGTGCAGTGTGACTCTCCCGGGAAAGTCTCTGTGCCGGATCCTGAACTGATTTGACCAGAGACATCCTGCCCCTCCATGGCCAAGGAACCACTTGCAGTCAGATCACTTTGGCAAGTGGGCTTAGAAGGTGTAAATCCCTTGAAAGTTTAATGGAGCAATGATGGGATAGTTGCTAAAACACACACACACACACACACACACACACGCATGACTGGATTTTGGGAGGGTGAATAAGCGAACTAGGAGGTCCAACAGGACCTCTGATTTGTTCGCAGCAGAGAAAACCCCAGGCTACAAAGGAATGTGCCAAACTGCAGGGCTGCTGCCATCCCTTAGATGGCACCAAGGCCTCCTGACACGGTGTCAGATCCCTTGTACAGCTTGCACAAAACCTTGTTTCCTAGAAAGAAGGCGCTGCCTTTAAAGGAACACAGTCGGTGGGCCCAAAAGAGCACAGAGTTGTCAGCTTTTGATGTTCAGCAATTTAAGAAAACATCTGGTTTAAATGACTGTCCTTCCTGTCACCCCACCTAGACCGCCTCTCCATTACTGTTCAGGTACTTCATAAATATGAGAACTTGGCAACTAAGAATAAACTCAAGGGAGACTTAGATTCATCTAAATGAGATAAATTAGCAAAACCCTCCAACGGGAGAGAAGAAAAGCACTTTTATGCTATATGGGAATGAGATAATACCAACTACTACTTCCTAAATGCATGTTGGATACTGTGTTTCTTAATGATGTACAAAGCAAATGGATCTGTTTCCTGGAAGCTTAGGTGTGCTCCAGAGGTATTATTTTAGTACGCCTTACACAAGGGGTAAGACTTATGAGAAAGTAATCAAGTAATACCTTGGAAAAGCCATTTTTATATTCATGTAGGATGGGCCATACTGTGGGCTTTTTGGCTCTAAAAATTAAGTTTCCTTCATCACCATTCCAAACTTTCTGGAACTTTCCTTGTGTTATTTTTCAGACTGGCAGGCATCTGTATGTTAAACTTATGAGGGCTTCTATGCCATCTACACACAGTTTGGAAGAACTGCAGTCTTTCTGTGAGAGGCAGAGACAGAATAATTATGGGACTGACTTATTACTACCAGGGCGGTGAGGGCTTGCTAATGTTACTCAGCAGAACCAATGTGAGATATCTTACCCAAATCACATGGAAATGATCATTTAAAGATTGAATTCCCCTCCTCTCTTTTGGCTGAGTTAAGAAAAAATATATATTTTTCATAACTAAAGCTGTTTTTGGGAAAAGACTGTGTAACTACAGATGAAAATCATGGCATGTTACAGGCTTGAGAGCCGTTTCCAACTCAGCAAGACCCAGCGATCCACTGATTTAGTGAAACTACAAGCTTAAGTTACCACGATCATAAACATTCTAAACCTTTACCCAGAAGGCATTATCTCTCTAATTTCAACTCACCAGATTTCATTAGAATCCATAAAAAATGTCATAGATCAACATTTTAAAATGATATTATTGAGTTTCATTTAATAAAAATATGTTGGTGCTTTTGCATAGCTGTTTTTCCGGACATGGTAGTTGTGTAGATTTGCTGTGTTGTTGTTCATTTTGCCTGGTACAGGTGACTCAACACCTGCTCTACAAGGAAAATGTTAGAAAAGTAAAAAAAACACAGGTTATAAGGATATTTCCCAAAGTGTTCAATGATGATTGAAAGACTAATAGTTAAAGTGTTCTATGGGAAAGCTTCATATAAGGGATGCTACGGGTTGAATTGTTTTCCCCCCCAAAAAAGATATGTTGAAGTTCTAACCTTTAGTACCTTGAATGTGATCTTATTTGGAAATAGGGTCATTGTGGATGAAATTAGTGAAGATGGGGTCATATTGGGGTGGGGTAGGCCCCCAAACCAAGAAGACTGATGTTCTTATAAGAAGACAGCCACTTGAAGACAGAGAAATGGGAAGAATGTGTGTAAGATGGATGCAGAGAGAGGAGAGACTCATCCACAGGCCAAGGAGCGCCGAGGATGGCTGGCAGCCCCCAGACACGGGGAGCAGGACCTGGAGCGAAGTCTCCTTCACAGCCCTCAGAAGGAACCGGCCCAACTGGCACCTTGATTATGGACTTCCGGCCCCCAGAACTGTGAAAGAATACATTTCTGTGGTTTTAAGCCACCCCACTTACGGTATTTTGTTACACGGGTCCCGGGAAGCCAGTACAGGGGACTAGCTGACGGGCAGCATGGGAGTTACAGGAAAAAAACACTCGCGTCTGACTAGGACAAGTGGGTCCTTCCAGAACAGTCACCAGCACGGCCTGGTGGCTCCACTGCTGTCACGGACAAAAACAAGGCAGTGGTTAGCTTCATGTCCCAAAGCGTGGGGTGCAGAATCCAGGGAGAGGTTAGGGGACGTGGAGAAGGAAGAACTGGGAAGGCCCTCTGTGGGTGCAGAAACCTAAGAGCGTTTGCCAGCTACAGTGAGGAACCCATATGGCAGTCAAATGACCCGCCTCGCCACACTGGAAAGACGCATGAACCCACTGACCCCTGAAAGAGCCTGGGGGCTCAATTCTTCAGTCTGGGTGTAATTTGTTGGGCCGACCTCTTCATCCTGCATGTCTGACTTCTTAAATCAGCATGTCTTTGTTTTATAAACCATAAAAATCCAAAGTTGGGGTACAGGCCAAGTTTGGATAAGGTGACTCGGATGGCTGCCCGGGCTCTCCCTTAGATATCTAGTAGAGCTCAGTGGGCCTCCCTTTGGGATTTACATCAAAATAGAAATGAAAACAAGCAACATGGACACTGTCTCAGATGGTCTGGAAACCTCCATGGATAAGATAACTCTTCTATGAATTTTGTAAGCCTGTGAGAGTAATTTATTTGAGTGCTGTACAAGGACTATTTGGCAGTGATTAAAAACGTGGTGTCACTAAACTATGTTTTCTACCTTTATCTTGCATCTACCTACCACTTCAGCATTTTATTAAAAAAAAAAAGAATAATAATAAGGGAGAGATGTGGGATTCACATATAAATCAAGTATAAAAATCAAACAAATATTCATATTTGACCTGATTGTTTATAGTTCATAACGCATGATCAAAACCGAAAGTTTCTGTGATGACTGCCCTTGCACTGTTCACCATGTAAGAACTTATTCACTATGTAAGAATTTGTTCACCATGTAAGAACTTGTTCATTATGCTTCAGAAGATTGGAGACTGTTGAGAATTAGGCTTGGGGTGGATTTAATGATTGTGCATTGAGTCCCCTATACAGAATTTTATTGTTGTTAACAACCATTTGATCAATAAATATGAGAGATGCCCTCTCAAAAAAACAAAAAAACAAAACAAAACAAAAAATGTGGTGTCAGCAAAAAAGTGTTTGGAAAAATATATAATAATCACAAAAGTCTCCATTTAATAAAATGTGCCACTGCTTTCTGAACTGGGGAAAAAAAAATGTGGTGTCAGGTGGAAGCATAAGACCGACATTTACTAAATGCTACACAAAATGCAGTTAAAAATGATGCTTCAATGCTCTTCCTTTGTACATTTAGCCTTTGAAACCCAGGTGCACAGAAGCTGTTAGTTATTAATGATAAGAGTAAAAACAAAAAAAACAATAAAACCATCACTGAATATTTACAATATGCCAAACATATGCTAAGTGTTAAGTTAGCATTAACTTATTTAATCCTTCAATAAATCTGTGATGTGTATGTTATTGTCCTCATTTACAGATGGGGCAACTGAGGTTTAGAGAGGGTATTTGTCCAAAGTCACCCCAGGGCTGACTCAGGGCAACCAGATAGGGACACACCCTGTGGTCAACCAGGTAAGACATGTCGGCGGCGACAGAGCTGGGTGCTGAGAAGAGAGTGGTGAGGCTGGCAGGATTTGAAGGTGAGGCTGGTAAAATTTGCTGATGGTTTACTTGTAGAGACTGGTAAATGGCTGCTGGGCAACTGGAAGAATGGAGTTCCATTTCGGAGAAGGGGAAGACAGTGGGAGGTGCGGGGATCTGGGCTCGGAGGGTGAAGGCTGGGGAAGAGGAGTCTGGCTTTGGGCCTGCTCAGTTTGAGATGGCCGTCACCGGCCAGGTGGGCATGACAGTGGCTGGCTGTGTAAGTGCAGCATTCAGGGAGGGGACTGAACTGGAGAAGCCTGTTCGGGACTCAGCAGCACACAGATGGGACTGAAAGTCATGAGACTGGATGCGAGCCCCCAGGAGTGAGCCTGGAAAGGGGATAGCAGGAGCCTCCAGCGTCCCCTGGAGGGGTGAGGAGGAGGCGCCCGCATGGGGTGTATGGAGTGGCCGGGAGGAAGAGTGGTGAGTGAGGGCACGTTGGAGAGAGCGAGCCAATGCATCGAGTCATCAGATGAATCAAGTAACGTGAGCCCTGAGAAATGATGGCTGGATTCAGCCACATGGAGGAAACTGGGGACCTTGATAAGTGGAGTTTCGGTGGAGCGATTGTCATGGGTTCACGAGAGAAGCGGGACAGCTGTACATGAGCCCAGAGATTCTTTCAAGGGCCACCAAGGGGAACCAGGAAATGAGGCAACCATTGTAGGATGGGAATTTTTAATCTGGAGACCAGGGCCTATAGGACTCAGGGCACCTGTCAGCTTGGGTGGGAAAAAAATGGTTGCATGTTTTATGTCATCAGCCTCTCACTGAGAATTAGCATTTCCTTGTGTTATGACCAGAGGCAGCCACCAACAGTAATATGGCCTGTGCCTATGAGTTCACCATAGAAATCACTAACAGCGTGCATTGCATTTCAGGTGTGGGTACCTGGAAAGATCGTATACCTTTGCTGCTATTTCAAATTATGGTAGTTAATAAGACCCCTGCTTGTCTTGTAATGTAATGCATTACCAGAAAGGCACATAAATTGCCATGCACAAAACGTTTTTTTTTTATTTTGGTATCATTAATCTACAGCTACATGAGGAAGATTAAGTTTACTAGATTACCCCCATCACCAAGTCTCCCACACATACCCCATCACAGTCACTGTCCATCAGCATAGTAAGATGCTGTACAATCACTACCTGTCTTCTCTGTGTTGCACAGCCCTCCCTGTGACCCCCCGCCACATTATACATGCTAATCGTAATGCCCCCTTTCTTCCCCCCGCCCTATCTCTCCCTTCCCACCTTTCCCTTTGGTAACTGTTGGTCCATTCTTGGGTTCTGTGATTCTGCTGTTGTTTTGTTCCCTCAGTTTTTTCTTTGTTTCTATACTCCCAGATGAGTGAAATCATTTGTATTTGTCTTTCTCCATGTAGCTTATTTCACTGAGCATAATACCTTCTAGCTCCATCCATGTTGTTACAAATGGTAGGATTTGTTTTCTTCTTATGTCTGAATAATATTCCATTGTGTATATGTACCACATCTTCTTTATCCATTCATCTACTGATGGACACTTAGGTTACTTCCATTTCTTGGCTATTGTAAATAGTGCTGCCATAAACATAGGGGTGCATCTGTCTTTTTCAAACTGGGCTCCTGCATTCTTAGGGTAAATTCCTAAAAATGGAATTCCTGAATCAAATAGTATTTCTTTTGAGCTTTTTTGAGGGACTTCCATACTGCTTTCCACAATGGTTGAACTAGTTTACATTCCCACCAGTAGTGTAGGAGGGTTCCCGTTTCTCCATAACCTCACCAACATTTGTTGTTGTTTGTCTTTTGGATGGTAGCGACCCTTACCAGTGTGAGGTGATATCTCATTGTGGTTTTAATTTGCATTTCTCTGATGACTAGCGACGTGGAGCATCTTTTCATGTGTCTGTTGGCCATCTGAATTTCTTCTTTGGAGAACTGTCTGTTCAGCTCCTCTGCCCATTTTTTAATTGGATTTTTTGTTTGTTTGTTTGTTTGTTGAGGTGCATGAGCTCTTTATATATTTTGGATGTCAACCTTTTATCGGATCTGTCATTTATTAATATATTCTCCCATACTGTAGGATGCCATTTTGTTCTCTTGGTGGTGATCTTTGCTGTACATAAGCTTTTCAGCTTGATATAGTCCCACTTGTTCATTTTTGCTTTTGTTTCCCTTGCCCAGGGAGATTTGTTCATGAGGAAGTCACTCATGTTTATGTTGAAGACATTTTTGCCTATGTTTTCCTCCAAAAGTTTGATGGTTTCATGACTTACATTCAGGTCTTTGATCCATTTCGAATTTACTTTTGTGTGTGGGGTTAGACAGTGATCCAGTTTCATTCCCTTACATGTATTTACCCAGTTCTGCCAGCACCATCTGTTGAAGAGACTGTCATTTCCCCATTGTATGTCCATGGCTCTTTATTGTATATTAATTGACCATATATGTTTGGGTTAATGTCTGGACTCTCTATTCTGTTTCACTGGTCTGTGGCTCTGTTCTTGTGCCAGTACCAAATTGTCTTGTTTACTGTGGCTTTGTAGTAAAGTCTGAAGTTGGGAAGCAAGATGATGCAAAGGCTGGGGGAGGGGGGGCGGCGGGACCACCCACCACCGACAGGGGGCCACCACGGACTGTCAAAATGGTTTTAAAGGATTTTAACAGTATTTCAATACAATTAGCTTCCTTTATAATCCTGTATATTATTTTACACATTTAAAGTTCAGAGAAGAAGCACATAGCTTCACTGGATTGTCAAAAGGTCCAAGGCAAAATAAATAACAAGTCCCATTAAACAATGTAAAACAAAAACAAAAACAAAAACAATAGTTAAGAATCTCTGGCAGGGGGATGTGTGGTCAAGAGAGGATTTTTGTTTTGCTTTGTTGTTGTTTTGAAGATGAGCGAAGCTGAAGCAAGTTTCTATGTCTTTGGAGCTGATGCAGGAAGGAGGGAAGTGCTGGTGACATTCCTGAATACAGGACAGCAGGGACCGCGGTGGGTGCCTGGGGAGGCCAGCTCAGAGCAAGCTCAGATGTTTGTTCCAGAGCAGGAGGGAGGCCGTGCAGGGAGCCTGGCCGGGTGCTCTCATTGTCTCGGGTTGGTCCTCAGGGAGGCAGGGAGCAAGCACTGTAATGGGTTGGGAAGGGAGATAGTAAAGGGGTGTTGAAGGCTTGAGTGGAAGGAGAGGGGGCACCATGGTCACCTGGGCAAGCGGCAGCAGGACTGGACCAAGAGGAGGTGAGCAGCAGGTGCCCTGTGAGGCCAGTGGCCCTGGGCAGCCCGAGGGCAAAGTGCTGGCCTGAATGCAGTGGGGATTTTCCTAGGGGAAAATGACGGCAGGAGATATGTGTGTGTGTACCACGGGCAGGGGGATGACGCTGGAAGGAGGAAGTGGGGACGGGAAGGGCGCCGCGGGACGCACAGAGGAGGCGGTGGCTGGGCACTGCCACTGTGATCAGGGTGAGTGACGGCAAGCGGCAGAGTCAGACTGTGGGAAAGGGTGGGGGCGCCCGGAGGGGAGATGCAAAGGCTTGGGGGGAAGGGCAGAGGGACCACCCACCACGGAGAGGGGGCTACCACGGACGGTCAGGAACCGTTTGTCATCTGGTCCACCTTTATTTGCGAGGTTACATTTCCCTAGTTACTGGCTTATTTTCTGCCTATGAAGGTGGAAGAAAGAGGAGAAAGAGAAATAGGGCCGGAGAGGGGACGGCACAGACGTGTGCGTGTCTGCTGGGCGCTCTGCTGCTCTCGGTCAAGCCAACCTTGGTCTCGGTCCCTGTCTGCTCTGCGTGTCTTTTACTCACAGGACGGCCATGCAATAAGTATACACTCAGAGCTCGTCTTCAACTTCTTTTTCATCAGCCGCCCTTCTTTCCTTGTCCCCTGACACCCTGCTCTGCTCTGTGGTGCAGGAGGTGGGTAGTGAAGGACTGCGGCGTGGTGCTTGGGCGGGCGGAGGCGAAGGCCCCGGGCCGGGGGATTAGGTCTGAGCTGAGCCGGGGAATGTGCACCCCGCCAGCTTGCGGCGGGACCCCAGCTAGCTGGACGGACCAGACAGGACACACGGTAACGTCCTCTTGCGGAGGGGAGCTTCCCCGAGTGTGGGAGGGGACAGGGGGCTTGCCCTCGCCAGGCTGCAGGCTGCTCCTCTTTGCTTTCACCCTCCTGTGTGTTCGGATCTAGTAGCTGGAATTCAGTGGTTCTCCCCCCACCGCTGTGTCACGTCCCCTGGAGAGCTGAGAAAGACCCTGCTGCTTGGGCCACCCAGAAAGCAGGCTCCCCTGATGTGGGGGAACCATACACGGTGATGTTTGAGCCCTGCCCCCGGTGATTTGCATGTGCAGCCAGGTTTGAGGACCGCTGTCTTGACTGGTGTGCTACCAGGAGCTTTAAGAGAGATTGAAACTGTTCATCAGAGTCACAGTACGAATGTCTGTTCCGCTCGATGGCTCTGCCTGCGACTCTGGCCCCTCTCGGGGCCCCCCAGGGCAGAGAGAGTTGTGCCCAGCAGGGCCTTCTCGCTGTCCCTGAGTGGTGTCTGTTCTGCCCGGAAGCCATACTCGCTGTGCCCCAGACCCTCTTCTCCATCTACATCCTACCTATGCCCCAGTGCCATGCCCTCCATGTCCATCCTTGACCCTGACCCCATCTACCACATTCTTTGACAGTGAAGCATCTGGAAAGACGTGGTTTCCCCATTCACCCTCTGCTCTCTGGCTCCCACCCTCCTAGCACCCCACAGAAGTGTACTCTTATCACCCAGGGGGTCCTTCTCCTGGACCCACTCATGCATCACTCTTGGCCAAGAAGTCACCCCACAGGGCATTTCTATTTCCCTGGGTGGCACTTGAAAATAGAGCTCTGCTTGTCCCTGGCCCCAGAGAATGACACCAGCAGTGGGAGGACTATGGCCAGGCCCATCCTAGGGAGGGCGGGGCTTGGGGGAGCCCAGCGATACTTGGAGGTATGTGTCTTTAAAACGTTGAAGAAATTTAGAATAAATTGGGTCAGGTATGAGAGTTCAGACTGCAGAAGCTCTCGTAAAAGCAAAGCCTTGCAGATGAAATGGTGTTGGGCGTTTCTAGCTCAGTCCTCAGACATCACACCGGGAGGGCCACGCTGTGCCCTGTCCCTGAAGAGTAAGGGGGCACCACAGGTTTCCTTTGCCTGTTCTGAGGACTGGCTGTGTAACTTGCAGATCCCAGTGCAAAATGAAAAGTGGGCCCCCTGTTCAAAAATTTCTAAGAGTTTCAAGCTGGCTGTGCCTGTTTTGGACACATCCAAGAACTGGGCATTGGGATCTTCCCTCCCTTAAACCTGCGAGGACATCTAGTTTGGATGTTGGAAGAGCAGAAAACACATTTGCAGTGTTCTGCAGAATAAAAAATATGGTTTCCCATGTTTATTTTTTCATTCAAGTATAGCTCAGATGCCTCTGTAAATATCTGCCAAGGAGAAGCCTTTCGAAAGCAAAGTTATTGCTGATCTCCTGTGTCCAAGGGTTGCCGCCAGTGGAAACAGACCTGATGTTCTAAATCTCAGTTGTCATTCCTCTCTTGGTCCAAGGAAGCTGCAGGTGCGCACATCCGAGCCTAGGAGTGAACAGCTGCCTCTGCTTGGCTTGCTTCTTCTCCCAGGAGACCCTGCTCAAGCCTCCCCTCTCTCTGGCAGGATCCCCGGTTCCTAGGGAGGGAAGCGGCCGGGGTCCCAGCTCCCTCCTTTCCTGTGTGACTCACCGCACATGTGAGGCTGTCTCAGCGTGAGCCCTGGGTGCCCTCTTAACACATGGCCCCAGTGGAAAATTCCCTGTGCCTTGTAGCTGTTGGCCATGTGGCAAAAAGCCTGTGGACCTGGCAGCCGCTCGTCCTGCGGACAGTGTGAGGACCTGCCGCCTGAGCGAGGGCTACGAAGATCCGCTGGAGGCAGAAATGTTTGAGTTTAAAAGTGCCAAGACCCATTCCTAAACTGGCAAGGTTGCCTGTCTGCATTTGAAAAAAGACATCAGTAGAAGCCTGGAAAACAGACTTTTAGACTTCTTGTTCTGTGTTATGGCAGCTACTCTCTGATATAAAGGAGAAAATGATTTTTTTAAAACAAGAAATAGCATTCAATTTTACTTATCTTTATCCAATAAGAAAACTAATAGGAAAATAGAAAATATTTATGATAACATTTTCATGGCACTGAAGGAATAATCTGTGTTTCTTCCTTTTTTACAGATTTCTCTATAGATGTTTAAAATGAATTGCTCCCATTGCACGGACAGGTAAGTACCACGTAAGCTTAACAGGCTTTTGCAAAGCAGACGGAGCCAGATAAGAATGGAGGCTGGCTTCAAACTGACTAATTTTGAGCCTTCCCTGACTCACTGGCCTATCTACCTCATAACAGCGGCTTCCTAGAACCATCTAAGAGATGCTAAGATAATATATATAAAAACCTGCAAACCATGTATGGAAGGACACTCCACAAATGCAAGGTGTGTGCTGTTGAAGTTTTATCACTGTTACAAAAAAATCCACTCCCAACTTCACGGAAGCCCATGAGGTACCTGGGCTCAGCCCGACCCAGGTTGAGTTGCTGGAAAGCAATAATGAGGCTCTGCCCCAGTTTCCCAAGATGTCCAAATGAAACAGAGTGTTCAAGAGATCTTTGGCCTTGAAACGGCAGGATTTAAAGTCCTTGGGGGGAATGTGCAGCCCAAAGCAAGTGCCCTGTGGCTCTGGGTTTGGGGGCCCTCGAAGGGCACTACCCTGCTCCCTCTCTACAGTGCCTGTGGCCCTCCCACCCACCTGGGAACAACACCATGGCCACTGTGGGGATATGGGGTTCAAAGCAGTCAAGGGAGTAACTCATGTACCAGGTTGCATGGAATCTCCTCTCTTCAGAACCATTTTTTACTCTTATTAAGAGAGATCTATACTTACCCATCTCCTCTCCCAAGCCAATGTGGGGCTACATTGGGGGGTGGCTAGGGCTGGGGGAAGGATAAGGCTCCCAAGTCTGGAAACTGAACAAAATGCCAAAGGACCCTTGCTGTCAACAAAAAAGCCTGCTCCTCTTTGCAGGAGAGACCTGGCAGTTATGGCACCAAGAAGGGACAGTGGTGACAAATGCCCCAGGTCCCCGCTGCCTGAAACACTCAACAGACTCAGTCATTGCTCCCAGACTGAGGCTGGCCAGCCATGGAAGAGCTGCACCCAGACACTCAGGAACCAGATTCTTGTCCTCCTGGCTACAAGAGGCACAACTACCCTTACACGCAGCTGCTCGGGCCCTCAAGGGCCCCCCGGGCCCGGCTGCAGCTGCTTTCCTAGGCCACCTCACAGGGAGAACGCTCTCCACCCCGGACCTGACCAGCAGGGGCCTCACAGCCCCACAACAAATGACTGCCAACCCCAGACCCTCCCAACTCCTGGTCTCACCCCGAACTTAGATGCAGAGGCCCTCGAGTCGATCTGCCTCAGCTCCCTCCCAGGTGGGCTCCTCCGCGTTCTGGCTGGGCACTGGCCTGGACGAAGCAAGGACTCCACAGGATCACCGAGGCCCTCCTGTCTTCCCTCTTCTACCAACTGGAAGCTTCGAGGCCTGGGTATTTGAGAGCAAAATGTCTAGACAATTCCTCTGCTCCTTGAGAAGGGCCTGCGTGGGCCCACGCCTCGTTTGGTTGGATAGTTAGCTTGTCCCATGCATGCTCTTAGACAGCTGGGCCAAGGCAGGCAGACAGGACCAACCAGTAATGTCATTCCTGTGCTCCGAGCATGGTCATCTGCCTAAAACATCCTCCTGTGACCCTCAGGGCTGGCAGGATAAAGCTCTGCCAGCTGCTGAAGGCCTGCCACAGCCCAGCGTTTCCCTGCTGTGCACATGCCCTACGCCTGTTCCACTGGTTGTGTGAGCACTTGCTCCCTGCATCCTTGTTCACCGCCCCCGAAAGAACAACAGTTCTGGCCAACTGGGGGAATCCCTCCTGCTGCCCTGACCCCCTGTCCTCCTCTGAGCCAGTCACCTGGCAGTGGTTTCCACATACTACTTGGGACTTTTGTCTTATTGAGCAACTCAGAGAGTGTTTCAGCCTGCAGGCTGCAAGGGCCCTGAACACATGCCCTTGAATTTTGTAACTGTTTCTGTTTTCTTGGCTACCATTGTGGAGCTGGGCAATTCGGTGATGTCTGTTGGAAGAGCGTGGGGCTGGGTGGGTCATGGGGGCACTGTGTAGAAGGACGGACAATTTGCTGCCAGTTGGAGATAGGAGACATGGCGAAATGCGAAAACAGTTCCAAAGAAAGGTGGCTCTCTGGGGACGTACTTATGAGAAGTGGGCCTTGAGAGGTGGGGATAGCTCTGAGACTTAGGGTAGCGCCTGCAGTGGCCGAGGAAGCTGGCCCCTGCAGGGGATGCCACCAGCCCCTCCAAGCTTGTCTTGGCCACTCTGGGATTTGGAATTGCCGAGAACCATGATGCACTTGGCACACGCCTGTCCCTCTGTCACTGATCCCTAGCTGATGCTCCCAGGAGAGGACTTGGGCTCCTGAGCTCCTTCCCCAGCACTCATCAGTCTGCCTGGCTTTGGCTGGTGCTTAAAAAAGACACAGCGAAGGAACTCAGCTCTGGGTGAATGGCCCCAAGCATGGACCAGGGGCTCAGAAGGGTCTGTGATATATTACTGATTGAGGATTGATCCACAACCCAAATCTGTGTTACTTTTTTGTCTCTTTTCTTGAATAAGCATCACTAACGAAATCACTTTTAGTTCAGCCTCTTCTGTTTGGAAAATATCATCTAGAGTAAAATGCACCCACACTGTAATTTTATGTTGGGAATATTTTGTAGTTATTTTTACACTTTTACCTTTGGGGTGATTTGGCTACAAGTAATACATTTGATTCACAACTGCCTTTCATTTCTGGGCACTGATGGTGTATTTTCAGGAAATCCTGCCGAGAGAGAAAATGCAAACCCCAAATTGTTTTAAAATATGGTATTTTTAGGAGTACCACATTTATCAATGAATAGAGTGGACATAATGTTATGTTTTTTTAGACTTTTCTTAAATCCTTTATTCATCTTGATTTTCTCTGAAACAGTTTGTTCCATTCTGGGCTGGTGTGAGAAGCTCCCAGGCCCTTGGCACCTGATGGGCAGAAGAGGCTTTCCTGGGCCAGAGGGTGAAGTCACACTGACACTGTGTGAGTCAGTCTAAGTATAAAGGTATCCATTCATTTTCCATTCATCAGATATTTATTAAACTCCATACTGTTGTTGTGTGCACAGTGGGGCTCTGCTCCTGCTCTCTCGGTGTATGTGGGGGTGAGGGGTCACAAGGCCCACAGAGCCAGCCTCCCCTGGGACAACTAGCAGGTAGAGAGGTCAGGCTTGGGGCTCCAGCCCTTGTCTTCCCACAGGACCATCATCTTCCCTCTTCTACCTGCCATCAAAATCCATCCTTGGAGCTTATTTAAACTCTCAGGTGTAAATGACTCATAATGGCTTAACATTTTACCCCTCCCACGAGGTATTTTTAAGTCTAAGGGGTAAGGATTTAATGAGTGAAATATCAAACAGCAATAAAAATGTCAGGGGTAAAGAGGGATTGGGCGGAAGAGGGTCTTGAGCATTTTCCTAAACACCCCTAAAATCATACCAGTGCATTAGGGTGACCTGTGTCCTTATGGATATGATGGAAGCTAGCAGATATTTCAGAGTAGATGAATGGGTAGATGGATGATGAATGTATGTATGGAAGGATGGATAGACAGATGGATAATGGATGGATGGTGGATGGATGGATGGATGGATGGATGGATGGATGGATGGACGGATGGATGGATGGTGGATGGATGGATGGATGATAGATGAACAGATTCCCTTTATTTTGATCTCAACTGGTCTTTGAAGTTTGATTCATTTTTTGAGTCCTCATAGAGCCAGGCTAGGGTCTGATACATAAGGAAGTTGGTAGAAGTTCAATGAATGAACAAATTAATGAAAGGGAGGTTATGTATGCAGTGGGCCTATGGTTTCAGGTTACTGTTTTGGTTCCTTTTGGACTTGAGCAACACATAAGCAGACAACTAGAGTTTGTAATTAGTGGAAGCTTGGCTGTCTTGCTGGGGTGAAGGCCATTGTAAAATGTGACCTTGCTCAATTTATTGACAGCACATCATGTCAAAGCCACTAGACTTCCATGGAAGACTTTGTTCAAAGTTTCCTGCTAGCTTTGCAGAGGTTTGTCTTATGTGGCTTCCTTGTATTAATAACAACAATAACATGGTACTGAGCACTCACAGAGCACTCGCTGCGTGCAGATTGTTTTTTTAGGCACATTACACCGTGTTTACTAATTTAATCCTAACAACAACCCTTTGCTTTAGGTACTACTATTGACCCCATTTTATAGATGGGGAAATGGAGGCTCTGAGACCTTAAATACCCTGCCCAAGGTCACCAGCTCTAAGTGGTGGAGGCCGAATTTGAACCCAGGCAGATGGGCCTCAGTGTCTGGGCATATCCTATAATGTACATCACATCTCCGAGATGAGCTGGCCGCTACAAGCTCACCGAGTGCTCCCTGCAGCCCTCACAGCTCAGCCACAGCTGCCTGACTCGTCCACGCGGACAGGTGGGATTCTTCCCGACCCGGTAGGCCTCTTTCTCACCTGGGTGCAGGGGCCCTGTGGAGGGAGCCAGGTCCTGTGCCACCTTTGTGCCTCATGGCCCTGGGGCTGCCTCTTGGACATAGACTCGACATTCACTCTCAAGCCACTCATGTGTCTGCAGGAACCACGAGCTGGGCCTCCGAATGTTCCTGACCCTTGTGTGAGTGGCAGGGTCTGTGTCCAGTGAGGTCCAGAGGTTGTGTGAAGTTCAAAGAGCAAAGTTTGAGGCAGCTGCTGCTTCTGAGGCCTCTTTGGAGCCACGTGGTGAGGCTATGGGGATTCTTCTCTGCTTATGGCAACTGGGGAGCACAGGTCAGCCTTGGGAAGTGAGTCCCCTTTTGGGTTAAAAGAACAGCAGCTCAGGGTCTGGAAGGGAGGTCGCTGAATGAGTTGATGGATGGTGCCTGCCACTGAAGGAGTTTTCCTTGCCCCTTCATGGAGAGGGCTGAGGTGAGCGCCAGGTTGCTAAGGGGCTGGTTTGGGGCCCTGGAACCTTTTGGGGTCCTGGTGTGGATGAAGGTGTCTGAGGGGGGACTATCTCAGTGGAAGAGCCTCATCCCTCCCTGCTGCTGACTTAGGTGGGCGAGAAGCTGGGACCAGCCCAAGTGCAACAAATGAAGAAACAGCAAACCACAGAGCTGTCCCTGGGCCAGGGTGGGGGTGGGGCTGGACCAGGTGCACGCCTGTGGCAGGGCTGGGCGGTCTCGTGTCATCACTGAGGGGACTGAGGGCTTGCTGACCTGCCGGGGTGGAGGCGGCAGGGAGCGGGCCAGACCATCCACGCTCAGACACAGTCTGGATTTAGAGTTGGGTGCCTTGGGCCTGTTTGGAAAATAAGATACTTTCTCTAGGAAATACCCTGGACCTGCCACAGAGACAAGTGAGGAAAGAAGAGGGTGAGAGTCTGATCATGTATGTGTGAATGTCCATCAGGTTCTAGACTGGAAAACGCCATATCTTTGGGTTTAAGGTCATATTTTCTGATTTGAAGAATGAATTGCAAAGTCAGATTTAGAGGACTGTTACTTTTTCATCAGGTAAGTAGCCTTAAAACTTGGCCAGTGTATGGGCTCCTAAGGCTGTTGTAACATTGTACTACCAGCTAGTGGCTTAAGACAACAGAACTTTATTGTCTCACAGTCTTGGAGGCCAGAAGTCCAAAATCCAGGTGTCAGCAGGGCTGGGCTTCCTCTGAGATTCTGGGTAGACTCCGTCCTTGCCTCTCCCAGCTCTAGCTGCTGTCAGTACTGGGCACTCCTTGGCTTCTAGTTACATCGCTTCAGTCTCTGCCCCTGTCTTCGCATTGCTTCTCCCTGTGTGTGTCTCTCTGCGCACAGCATTTTCCTCTTATGAAGACACCAGTCATATTGGGTGGGGGCCACCATAATGACCTCACCCTAACTCGATCACTTCTGCCAAGGCCTTGTATCCAAGTAAAGTTGCATTCAAGGCAACAGGGGCCAGGGGGACAGAATTCACCCCGTAATGGCTAGTGATATCTGTGGCTCCTTAGTTACTTAGTACTATTTCTGTTATGTGGAATAAGACTGTGATCTTCATTAGAACCAGGAAAATCTCATATGTCAACAGTGATACTTGAACACAGGTTAAATCAATAGAGCAAAACATGCCATGTCAGTAATTACAGCAGTCAATACACGTACTTCCAAAATACAAAACAAAACAAGTGCCTGCCTCATCTTATGCTTTGGTTTCCTGAAGCTGCCACTCTGGCTGCCTCGGGACACCCTCTCATCCTGAGATAAGTGACAAAGTGATAATATAGGCCAACCAAGTACCTGTCTGGAAGCCACACAGCTTACTGTGGGAGAGCCCTCATTTCCCATCAACCATGAATTTTAATATTTGCCTGTTTCTTGAAATGACCCTCCACAAATAGCTAGGGTTAATAGCACTTCATGGTCTACCTAGAGAATCAGATAGAATTTTTCTTCATTTGGACACTTCCAAGTAAAGAATAGAGAACTCAATTGATGGCGAATGTGTTTAACAAGGAAGCCCAGTGGGGAACTGAATTAAATTGCTCCTGTTTATGCTTTTATTCTCAAAGGCTAGGTCAGATCTTAGTTCAGGTTGGGATTCCTTGGCACTGTTTGAGCGTAAATATATTGGCTAATGCTGGTCAGCTGGTAGGAAATAGGAAGTCTCTGAAATTTAAACAACACAGTTGTGAAATACGACCTCAGTTTTTTTTTACCAGGTGCCTATAATTTAGCTGATCTCAGCAACAGACATTTCGACATGATCCTGTATTTGCTAATTGCTCTTTTGTACTCTGGACGCAGGAAGATCTAACCTGGAGGACACAGACAGCAGGAACTTCCCAGCCAAAGTGCCCGGGGATCACGTGGTAAGTGACGACCATCACTTACTATGTCTTAAAATATGAAGACATCAAAAGAACTCTAAGTGGGGACTCAAACAGATATTTGCACACCATGTTCATTGTGCATTATTCACAAAGCCAAAAGGTGGAAACAACCCAGATGTCCATCAACAGATGAATGGATAAACAAATGTGGCCTGTCCACACAATGGAACACTAAACCTTAAAAGAGGACATTCTGACACCTGCTACAACTTGGATGAAGCTTGAAGACTTACACTGAATGAAATAAGCTATAACAAAAGTCAAATGTTGTATGATTCTACTCATAAAAGGTGCCTAGAGTAGTCAGACTCAGTGGACAGAAAGTAGAGTGGTGGGTCCAAGGGCTGAAGGAAGAGGGAGAGAGAGTCAGTGTTTGATGGGGGCACAGTTTCGGTTTGGGATGATGCAAAAGTTCTGGAGATGGACAATGTGATGGCTGCACAACCATGTGAAGGTCTTTCATACCACTGAAGTGCACGCTTAAAAGCAATTAAATGGTAAGTTTCACGTTATGTGTACTCTACTACAACACACATACACACACACACAGATCTGTGTCTTAGATGAGTTATTCTGAGTAGGACAGCCCCATCTGGTCTGGTGTAGCAGTCTCTTTGTTTACATAGGAAGGGTCTTATAGGAATACCTGTTCTCAGATATTAATCAAAGCAACACCTTCCTCCTCTCTGTTGTAGTTTATTCTGAGAGCCACCTGTCAAATCCAGATTCTGGCCCATCTGGGAAATTAACAGCTATCTGCAGATTTAAGGCCATAACCCAGTGGCCTTCCTACATCGAGCCCTTCTTTCCTCAGGGACGCTCTGTGCAAAGGCCCTGCTCAGCCTCGTGCTGGTGGTTCTGACTGCCACAGGAGAGGCAGCATTGCAGGACCCGGTGGGCAGTGTGGTGTCAGGTGGGGCTGCAGACGGCTGCCAGGCCAACCACTGCCGTTCTGGACAAAGGCCCAGCCCGTCCTGGCCTCCTAATTGCTACTCCCTTGAATATGCTGGAAGCCTACTGACGACGAAACATCACCCATCTGGGATGCCTTGTGCTGTGTAACTTCTAAGTGTTTTACACAGACAGCTCTGTGAGGTGTCTGTTATCATCTCCAGGCATCTTTCCAGGCCTCACAACTGGTCATAGAAAGATCTGGGCCTGAATCCAAGCAAGCTTCTTCTTCTCCCGGCTCCAGTTGAGTTGCCAGCCCTCCCTCAAGCAGGTTTCTCTCTGGAAAGGCAGTTGTTAGGAACAACAGCTGGAGATCTGCAGGCAGGCAATGAGCAGGTGGTCCAGGGTTCTTGAATGAACAAGTGTGGGTCCCAAGCACAGTTTTGAAAGGTCTCACTCTCAATTCCTGAGTCTAACTTGTGTCCATTGCAGCTGAGGGACCTGGGTTGCTTTCCTGGGTCTTGGCCTAGAACTCCTGCAACTATCTCAGTCGTATAGATGAGAGAGTCAGAGGCTCTCAGGACATGCGAGACACTATCAGGCCCTTTCCCAAGGGGACAGGGGCACTTGGGTTAGTGCATTTGATGAGATGGAGTGACGTTTGTTTGTGCCCCCCCACCCCACTTTCTGCTCCTTTCCCCTCCACACACCAGTGTGTGCACACACACCCATGGACATGCAGAGGACACACACACACACACACACACACACACACACACACACATTCTTTCTTGAAATGACTTTGGCAGAAGCAAAGCCAAATCTTTCTAATTCTCTGTAAATAAGGTAAAAAGGAGATAACTCTACGCCAGAGAAAGACCTTCTCACCAGGTTGAATTAGGAGGCTGCCTGCCCTTCACCATTTTCAGGACAAAACATTGGCCAATGGTTTCCCTGAGCCCTCACCCCAGGAAACTAATTAGGGTCGCATGTGACAGCAGGGGACGTTTCCAGTCCATGAACTAGGGTCGCAGGTACTCTGAGAACTTCCCTCACAATCTGCTTTCTAAGGCACGTGCCCTGAAACAAGGCGTTGTGACCACTGTCTTCAGCTCTTGGTAATCTGGAATCCCCCTTCTCAGCTACAGGCCTCTCCCGGGAAGGGGTCAACCAGAAAGCAGGAAAGAACACACAGGCTTGTGAACGCAGAGCAGTGTGGAGTGTAAAGTGCCTCAGCCAGTCATCGAAAATAAGAAAGGAGTCCAATGTCAAAGCTGACATTGTCGTGCTCATTTCCAAGTACTGTGGGGCTTTTTCATGTTGGTTTCATGGAAATTTATGTTTGCGGAGAAGACTGTGTTTGCTATAGGATCTTGCTGTGTTCATTTAGCCCAGTAATAAAAACCATCTGCCTGAAATCCTTTTTGGACTGAGCAGAGTTATCAACAAATAAGCAAATGGTCATAAACGACCAGGGAAGGCAGAGGGCTGTTTCAGAAGGGGGTGTGTGGGCGAGCCTGAAGCAGACACTGCAGGCCCACGGGTGCAGGAGCTGCTGACTCCGGAGGTATGTCCGAGGCTACTGTGAAAACACACAGCCTTCAAATAAATATGGCGCATTGTGGGAGGATGGGTGGGCATGAACAGGCACCATTCTCTTCTCGAGCATCCACTCTGCACTTGGGGTTTCACCGTGGGGTAGGAACCATAGGCCCCAAAGAGGGGTGAATAGTGTTCCTCCAAAACTCCTGCCTGCAACCTCAGAATGTGAGCTTATTTGGAAACAGGGTCTTGTAGGTGTAATTACCATGAGGTCAGACTAGATTAAGATGGGCCCTAAATCTAATGGCTGGCGTCCTTCTAAGAAGACAAGAAGACAGACACCGGAGTGAAGGAGCCGGTGAGGACGAGGCGGGGGACGGTGAGGTTAGCTGCAAGCCAGAGGACGTGACGAGCACTGGAGCAAAGAGAGGTACAGGAGGCAAGGATGGGCCCCCCACCCACCCCGCAGCCTTCAGGGAGCAGGCCTCTGATGGCACCTTGATTTGGACTTCGGGCCTTCAGGACTGTGTTTCAGGCCTCCCTGTTCGTGGTGATTTACTGCTGCAGCCACAGGAAACCCATACAGCCCCTTTCTGGCTGGGAGCTGTTTAGGCTGGGAGAGATGCGCATATTAGAACCAAGGAGCATCCGGTCACACTCTGGGCCCCAAGGTAGAACTGAGGCCCAGGAGCAGGCAGACTGATCTCGAAAGGGTGCTGCTTGAGCCAGTTTCTTCGTTGGCTAGTTTGTCTTCTTGACAGTCGAGAGGGGGCACCTGGGCTGCACTGGCCCCTCCTGCGTTAGGGGAGGTAAAAGAGCAGCCTTGGAGTGAGGGGCTTGGGGAAGCCTGAGAAGGGGACCGTGCCTCAGGGTCAGGGCCACAGCCGGGTCACCCTTCCAGTCCCGGCTCAGTTAGTGCTCTGCGAGCAGAAAGGGCTGCTCTTTGGGCTGCCCTGGGAGGCAGGGCATGGAGGAGAGCTAGCGAGACAGGCTGGGTTTGTGGCTTCTGAGAGCCGACACAGGGTTTGATTTCCTCAGCAACACAGTGTTCTTAACAGCCGGACATGGGCAAGAAATGATTTTTAGAATTCCTTAGCTCCCATTACCATATAAAGATTCAGGCCTGGAGATCTGAGCTCTGAAATTCACCTAATTTAGAGAAATCAGGATGCTGAAAGAAAGGGAAGCCCAGTCTTTCTAGCCCTAGTGGGTGGAGTGGGAAGGGGAGCCAAGGGAGAAGCAGCCCATGGTTGCATGTGCTTGTCCCAATCTCCCCCAGATCGAATGTCCTGGTGGAGGTAGCCCAAGGAAAACAGGCTTTTCTTCTGCCCAATTTGGATTCTGTGGAGGAGACAACCCCCTTCTGACAAGGGGGTATGTGGGTGTTGGGGGGCACACTGTGACTGCGGGACAGTGGGGTGGGTTGGGTGAGCTTGAGTCTGTACCCTTACTGCCTTCCTCTCCTCTGCATTGCTCAGGGAACCAGGGATCCACGCGTGTCCCTGATGCAGGGATGGCAGGTAGTGGCAAGCCTTGCTGCAAGGAGCCCACCCTGGCCAGGGATGGGGTGGGCATCCCACCAGACCTGGGGGCTCCCAGGCAGCTTGGCTGCTCGTGAGGGCCCCCAACCTAGTCTTTCAGTCCCTCGTTGTTATCAGGGACATCAGCTGGATGCCCAGGGGCAGACCCAGCCCACACGTCCCTGAGTGGGAACCTGTCCGCACACCCACCAGGACCAGCACAGCTTCCTGGCAGAAGAGGCCAGTGCGGGGACTGGACAGGACCAGGAAATCTGTCCCCTTCTCATGAGGGCCACAAGCTTCCCTGTTCACCTGCCAGCCGGGTGTGAGGATGGGGAGGAGAAGCCGCTCTGGTGAGAGCAGTTCTCTACCAACAGGTATGTCTCTAGGGGAGCCTGTTTCCATCAAAAGCGACTCTTTAACCAGAGAGGGCAGAAATAATATCAGTGACAAATTGAAGTCTGCTCTGCAGAGGGGAGAGGAGCTCATGAGAAAGACAGCTGAGGAAGCTTCATGGCCCCACACACTGATGGTGGAGGCTGAGCCCTCCCCACTTTGGTGTGGAAGGATGGCTGCTATGGGCTAAGCCCTGTCCCCACCAAATTCCTATGGTGTAGTCTTAACACCCAGGACCCCAGGATGTGACTGTATTTGGAGAGAGGGCGTTTAAAGAGGTAACTAAGGCGAAATGAGATCACATGGGAGGGCCCTGATCCAATCGACCCGGTGTCCTAATAAGAAGAGAAGGTTAGGACACACACACAGAGGGACGGCTGTGCCATGGCAGAGGCAGCCACGGAGCCAGGCTGCCTCAAGCCACAGGACACCAAGGCCACACTGGCAGAAGCCAGGAATCTTCCCCAGAGCCTTCTGGGAGAGCATGGCCCTACACACAGCATGATTTTGGACTTCCAGCCTCCAGAACCATGAGAGAATAGATTCAGTTGTTTTAAATCACCTGATTTGTGGTTCATTATTAAGACAGTCTTAGGAAGCTAATATGCCACGTTAGGAAAGCCAGTTTCTGGAGGACTGTGCCCCACCCAAGTGGACATAAAAGCCTTCCTCCTGAGGACAGACTCCTCCCTATTTGGAACCAGGAAGGGACTTAGGGCAGAGGAGGTCCCAGGGCCTCTCTATGGGGTGTCCCTTGCTCCCCCTTCCTAGTTTAAGTCACCCAACATGGAGCCCTAAGAGCACATGGTCCCAGTCCATGCGGGACTCCCTCCTGCCTGACGGAGAAGCAAGCAGGGGAAGCAAGGAGAAGAGACGGCAGAGGACGTGGGTTTGCTTTGCTTTGCAAAAGGAAGTGCCTCTGCGTCTGTTTTCTTTTCTCTTCCCTTCAAATTGATCTTCCGTATCTCCAATAACTCTTATCTTTCAGCAAACTCTAGCAGGCCCAGCTGAGCTGTGAAAATACTGAACTTCAAAGGTTTTGCACAAATCATCTTAAAGGCCTGAGCTAAGTCCAGGAAAGCCGGCGTGGGGCTGAGAAATCACTCCTGTTTCACCACCAGGTAACTGAGACACTGTTGCTCTGCTGAGGTGAGATTCATCACCTTAACTGCCCCCACCAGGGTCCTGCCTGCATCATCAGCCCTGCAGGGCCTGCTGCCAGCCACCTGCGTGTCATTCTGGGGGAGTGATTGCTGGGGAGACCTTGTGGGGGCTGGGGTTTGATTTCCTCTGTTGCTTTGGGTGTGGCACTGGAGGAAATCTATGGAAAGGGTGGTTTCCATGGGGGTCAGTTTTCACTCTCACCCACTGGGTGTGACAGCAGAGGGTCACTGTTGGCAGAGAGGGGTTGCTATTGTGAGCCAGGTAAGTGTGAGTGGAGAGAACATAAAAGGTACAATAATAGTAATAATAATAATAATAATAATGCTTTATCGTCTTGGGGATTAAAAGTTGACCTTTCCATCTATACAGAATTTTATGTTATGTCTCCTATCTGGGTTTAGCTATGGAAGACCAGTTAAACAACCAGAGGGAAAATTACTTGTATCGTGACAGGTTGGTTGAGTAAAGTAAGATTTCCAGCCTCAAACTGGTTGCATGCATTTAAGTTCAGCAAACATGTTGTGAGTATGTGCTGTGACGAGGCAGTCTTTGTAGCCGGGAACTTGAAAATGGGTGGGTAAGGCCGACAGCAAAGCTTTCTTCCCTCCAGCCAGGGGAAGACTGGGCACAAGAGGCAGCCTACAGACAGGTGGGAGCCTCCTTTGCTGGAACCCTCGGCACCAAAATTTGTGGATCAAACGCAGCCAGCTCTGGACCGAGGCCCAGGCTTGCCGTGTCTGCCTGTCTGCCCAGCCCGTGCAGACGTGCGCCTCGGGGGCGCTGCAGCATGACCAGGGCTCTTCCCTGCGGAGGGGTCATGGCCTCTCCTTCTTAGTCGCTCACTCGGCATGGCTGCTTTCTGTATTTCAGCAGACGGGCGTCTTTGTGCAATCCATTCCCCCGGGTGAGGCAGCCTTTTTTGCAATTTGGGAAAATAAGGTGCCCTGATATGACAGAAGAGTAATCTCTGTCAGGTGGCTTTTAGGAAATTCCATGGTGTGGGACGGGGCCAGAGACATGTTATCATGTCATGGCGAAGTAAGCGGGACAACACGCACCGGTTTGGGGGGATCGATGAATGAACCCCGCAGCTCATGGGAAACTAGTCTTTAGAGTTTTTGTGTGAATGGGGCTATTCTGCCTTCAGCCTTCTCCAATTTTGAATTTATAGGGGAAGTCCCGGGCTATAATTCAGTGAGGAAAATGGGGGCATTGTGTTTTCTCTTTGAAATGACCCAATGCCTAAGTGGAAAAACAAGGCCTGCTCTTAACAATCATTTGGTACACATTTAATAACCCGAAAAATCCTTTCATTTCCAGAGGAGGCTCAGAAACCTTTACGAAGCATGTGGCTACTGTGATAGCTGTTTTGGAACTATTGGCCAGAGGTGCTAAGATGGGCAGGAGGGCAGGGGGGCAGCTGCTGCCCATGGCTGCGTCCTCCCAGGACCTCAGCCCCGTCCTCTGTGGACACTGCTGGGGGGGCACAGAGGCCAGCGGGGCTCCCTGGGACTCCAGCCCTGCTCAGCGGGCTCTGCCATTGCTTGGCCATCCTTCACTCCCCAGAGACCCGCCCTCACCTCCTTTTCTTCCTCAAGCCCCCTGCATGATCCTGGTACTGCCATGCTGCTGTGACCATTAACCACAAACTGGGGTGGGACGGGAGGGCTTAAAACAAGAGAAGTGTATCTCTTGAAGTTCAGGAGGCTAAAAGTCCAAAATCAAGGTGCCAGCCAGGTTGGTGCCTTCTTAGGGCTTGGGGAGGATCTGTCCTGGCCTCCCTCTCA